TGTGGCTGGCAGCTCCCAGAACAAATTTCCATGCGTGACCCATCCAGTCAAAAGGGGAAGCCTGTGGAGTGCATGCCCAAACACACACAACTGGAAAGCTGTGCACCTTCAAAAAACCCCTTCGCTCCTCTTGAAGCAAGTTCTAAAAGTACTTTCTAAGTTCAGAGTAATCTGAACACCAAAGATCCAAATCACACTTCCAGTTAAATAAGACCTTGAAAAGCGTATTTTAGCCAAAACAGACTGAGAGCTAATTGTGCACTTGACACAAGCAGTTCACATTGAACTTGATATTTCAGAGGCTCTTGTAGACAAATTATTTTCTGTTTTGCCACTCTCACTGTGTACAGAGAGACTCCACAGTTTTTTGCAGTGCTAGGAAGTACCACACGTTCTCAGCATCATTACTAACAAGTGAAGGGAAACACCACATGACTTCCTCCTATTCCAAACACACTGGATGTAAAGATGTCTTGTTTTTAAAAAGCACTCATACTGGACTCAGTTTGTGCAAAGGATGGCAGAACATAACAAATATCATCAGAGGAATCCGTGGGGATTCTTATGGGGAGAAAAAAAAACTGGATGAAGATTCAGAGGAGGAATGTTCCTTTTCCAAACTTGCTGTATGACACATGGATCACGTGCCTTTGTTTCTGTTCACCCACACATCTTACCAATGCACAGTGCTGCCTTTTGGGACCAGGTTGTTCTTGCTGTCTGCTTTTTTATTGTTGTTTTTAAATGCTGTGCCTCATTATGAGGCTCCCATCCAACTTCTAGGCATGCTATTACAGTGGCAAGGAAATCCGACATGTCTATTACCAGACATAGTATTAAATATACAGCTTTTCTGTCAGCTATTAAGAAGAAAACAAGCCCATCTGTAACTGCCAGACAATCTGCTCAGAGAGAACAGCTGCTTTAACAAAGGGGTCTGTGTAAAACAGGAATGATGAAACTCAGCTACACCAAAGCCAACAAATGTCCTCCTGAAAAATTTTTACTGCCAGCACACCCTTAAAGCAGAGCAGCCCACGAAGAGCTGGCTGACCCAGAACACAAAACAGCTACTGCAGAGCTGTGGGTACACTCACAGCCACAAAGCAGCACCTGGAGCTGAAGGTATCCTCCATAACTGGTGGACAGGAATTACAGATAACTTTCAGAGTTCAGTATCAGTTAACATAAAAGCATATCTATCATCAGTTCTTTCTCTCACACCCAGCCAGCCTGTTCCACCTTGGCAGACAACTCCCCACCTCACAGCGGTTACACACCTGAACAGGAACACCTAAACACCAACAGCAAAAAATTTCTGCACACACCTCAACATCTCTTTTACCACAAGCAAAACAAGCCCTTTGCTTACCTCCAGCCTGAGCAGCCTCCTAATTTTGAAACTGATTTCACCAGCCTTATCAGATCATCCTTGTGTCCTGGGCGCTTAAACTCTGAGATGCAGACCAAAGCTGTGGCCCAAAACTCACAGTAACAGTGGTGCTTCTCAGGTAAAACACAGCTATCCAGCTTTCCTGAAGCAGCCAGAGACTATCTGAATGCTTAAAGCTTCACTCTCTTCTGCTCCATTCTCACAGCTCCTTAGCTTATCCTTGCGTTTTTTGATATATATAGGATTTTAAACACCATTAAAATAAGGCACCAAAACATATCTTATGCCCAGAGGTGAGGTACAGAGAACCAAAAGCACACTTTACGTGCCAATCTCACCATTTCTTACACCTCAGCACTACAGAAGTTATTCTATTGAAATCTTAAATGGACAGGGATAACCTGAGACCTAAGAGAAAAACGCCTCACATTAACTCCAATACTTCAAAGTACTAAACATGATGTAACTAAAAGCACGTGCAACCTGATGTAAAAGTTGTACAAGAACAGGTCAATGCAAGCAAGAAAAACATTCAGAGGATACAGAGAGAAAACATAGTATCGAAGCAACATTCAAACTGCAGTAACATCATAGCAAGCATCAGATGACTTTAAAAACGTTCCAGACTTAATTTTTTTAAATTTTTTTTTTTTCATAATTCCCTAGATTGCCTTGACAGGGCTGCTCAGGACTTTTTTAATAGGGTCTTTCCTTGGCAGAGAGCACTCCTAAGACCGAAGTCAGGAATTTTAGAAATGTATGTACAAGCAACTACAGGCCCACCTAGTCCAGTGTCCCTGCTCCTCAGAAGATATAGAGCAGGCAAGAATATATAACATTCACCTCAGATTTGCCAAGCCTCCAAGTGTTCTTGGCTCAGAGGACTCTTAAGTTCAGAGGCAGTTTATCTACTCAGTACTTTCAGACTTTGACCGAGCAATTAAAGCTCTTCATACTGCCCAAAGAAAATGTGAAATAGTGGTTACATTTATACTTACTAGTTCGAAACTTCTCCTTTATTGCATCCAGATCCTCCTTGAGAGCCACCTGCATCCAGACTAAGCCAACACACGCCACCACACAAGCGGCAAGAATGACAAAAGCACATAATGGGTAACAGAACTTGCAGCATCGTAGGTAATCTCCCCTGCATGAAACAAAGTAACAGGCTGTGAATATACAACAGTACCTAGAGAAATTTTATTTTAAATGCTGTTCTAGCAAAGCAAGGGACAGAATTGTAACAGCACACATTTGGGCTGACAAGAGCTAAAAAAGAGCATTTCCAGGAATAAATAAGGCTCTAAAGTGAGGTCAGGGTGGTTACTCTCTGTTCAGTTTATCCTCAGGAGGCACATCTAGCATATTTAAAAGCAGCTGTCAGGTTTCCCTTACTAAAATTTCCTGCTCTGCTCACATAAACTTATGCCAGGCACATCTGCTTGACAGCTTGGAAAACACGCTTCAAAACAGGGTATTACCATAATGTTCCGACAAGTAATATCTTCTAGAGCGTTCCAAATTGCGAAAGCCCAAGTTGCTCTGTGACATGCCTACTTTCGGGTGTTCTTAGGGGCCCATTATCAATGCTGTCACTTAACTGAGAAGCTTATTTATTGGCAAAAAGCACATCACGTCCGTGAGAAAAGCAGCACTGCGCCAGCTCGCAGGACTGTGCCACGTGCTGAACACACACGGGGAACTGAGCTCAACAACATCAGCGCCTGATACCGAGCTGCTCTAAGGACTCGACAAAAAAGAAGAAAACAGCCAGAGGATGGTTTAGTGGAAGGTGTTCCTGCCCATGGCAGGGGGTTGGAACCGGATGATCTCTAAGTTCCCTTCCAACCCAGGGCATTCTGTGATTCGATGATACTTCTATCCCCCAGCCAGGCGACCTGTCGGGCCGGACACACTCAGTGCAGCTCCGGGTGTTCCCTGGCAGCCTCTCACCCACCCCCTTTACCCTCAGCTGCCAACCCGACCCGCTGAGGTCGGAGCAGGACCGGGCCGGGCCGGGGACCCCGCGCCCCCCCGGGACTCACTTTCCGCAGCGGCCCCGCGCCCCCGCGAACTCGTCCTCCTCGGAGCTGGACTCGGAGTCGGAGGCGGGCGGCTCGGTGCGCAGCAGCCGGTGTCCCGAGCCCTTCTTGGCGGGCTTCTTCCTGCGGCCGTCGGCGGCCAGGCCGATGAGGGCGTTCAGCTCCTTCCGCTTCTTCATCCTCTTGTGGGGCGGCGGCGCGGCCGGCGGCTGGCTCCCGCCTCCCTCCTCCTTCTCCCCCTCCGCCGCCGCCGCCGCCAGCGCGCCCCGGCTCGCCAGCCTGCGGCCCGGCGGCGGCTACAGGCGCTCCGCGGGGCCGCGGCTGTTGCTCCCCCGCCGGCCCCGCGGCGGCT